CACAGGAGATGTCACTTAATAGACCATGATCCCCCTTCTAATCCTGTGTGCCTAAGATCAATGCATGGAAACTAAAGGAACAGCTGCCTAGAAAAAGTAACCAGTGGCTTTAACAGGCTTTATAAGTCCATTTATCACCAAGGGCAGGAGTGTTTGTGAGCAGTAAAATGGTTTTACCCATGGATCTCATGGCTTTTACCCATATTAGCTAAGCCCAACTGCTCCAAACCTGTTTGCAATCTTGAAGCTGCGGCTAAACTCTAATACATACAGATTAAGTGATTAGCAAGGGTTGTTCTCTAAACTTTGTCATAGCTGACAGCATGACCTATAGTATCGTGGAATGCAGCAAATACAGCCCTGTGGGGTTTGCAGCCCATGTGACAAGTCATTGAGTCTGCACAGGTGCTTGGCAGCTTGTGGTTAACCCAGTGTAAAATTACACAGGATGAATTAAGATAATAGAAAACTTCCTGCCTACTTATTGTCCAAAATGTTAGCCACCATTATTCCATCTGGAAGCTTCAACTGAGGCCTATGGGCATAGATTTTCTGGTTCTCGTGTTGTGGTGGAATACTCTGTATGTTAGTCATGTTGGGACTGGGATTGCTGTCATGCTTGACATACTTGAACTCGAAACTAGACACATTCTCAGAGGTCAGATGCTCATGCCCAGCCTATAACTCCTGACAGAGCCATCCTTAGGGGTGTGGAAGGCCCAGGGCATATCAGGCCATGCGAGCCCACAGGGTGGCAAGCGGGGTGGTGAGAGGCCAGAGTGTGGAGCCACAGCCATGGCAGAGCCTGTACAGCACTGTCTGTATGGCCCCCAAATCGCGGGGCCCAAGGCAGGCTTCCCGATTCGCCCCTCCTGCCCCACCGCCCAGGGAATGGCCCTGCCTCCTGGTTTCCTACTCTACCATTGGTTTCTAAGTGAGACATGAAGTTGATGTAAATGTTAGGTGCCTGACTCTATTCAACCAATTTGAAAATCTTGATTTATTTCCCACCCAAATTATGTACATAGCAGGTCAATATGGTAAAAAGAACCTGGTTTAAGTAGAAGAACAGCCTGAAGATGCATTTCTGAGACTGATCAGTCTTATTTTTCACTTCAGAATTTCTGGAGCTGTTTAGCTTCAATTTAAGAGGTTTCAATAATGAGCAAAGCTTGAAGTTTGGGTTCTGGTGACAATCCAAACTGCCCCCAACAATTCAGATATTTACGAAGAGATTACAAATCTCTTAAATCTCCAAAAATGAGCTGAAAATCTAATACAGATAGGTTTTCTCACATTCTCTCTCACTTCTGCATGTAGTTCCTGTCAAAAATTTGGCTAGAGAACATTTAAAGTTGGGTATATTGACAGAAGGTTAAAACTGATCCCTGGGCGCTCCAGCAGTTTATAAGGGACATTAGTTCTTCTGTCCCAGGACATAAACACACTAATTTTCTAGCTATGGAAACAGAGGTCAAAAAAGGTTGTTGGTTGTATCTATGTTGGTCTAAGGACATAGGCAGACAAGGTTCTTTGAGTAGATGTGATATCTTTTATAAGACCAACTGAATAGTTGGAAAAAAAGGTCTTTGCAAGCTTTCGGGCACGAACACCCTTCTTCAGGCAGTGGGAGACTCTGCAGGTGTTATGAGTTCTCCAAGGTAGAAAAGAAGCTAAAGTAAACAAGAAGTCTGTGAAGACGCAAATAAGTGGAAGTTTGGAAGACAAAAGGTAGAGATGGGGGTGGGCAGTGTGAAGGAAAACAAGTGGTCAGTTAACAGATTACCTGGTGTGGTCAATGTCAGGCAGGTTGCAATGTGTCACACATCCAACGTCTATATTAAGTCCATGATTTTTTGTATCCAGCAGATTTATGAAGTGACGTTCCTAGGCTCATCTATGAAAAGTGTTTTGTAAATTCCCTTTGAGGATTAAAACTGAGAGATCAGAGAGGGAATGATTGTCTTGTGAGAAGTAGGCACAAAGAGACCACCCATCCTAGCCTTTAAACAAGCACCAAAACTCGCCCGCCTCAGCACCAGAAGCGAACTTCCTGTGACCCCAAAGCACACCAAATGAATCCAGGCCATGCCATGACAAAAAATGTAAAACCAGTGGCTGCTGCAGTGGAGCCCAGTTCCCCTGCACTGCTGCCTGCCTGCCTGCTGCGGGCTCAAGCATGAGGGAGGGGCAGGCAGCTCCCAGGGCATGCACGCACACCCAGGGAGACATGAGGGACCTGTGCCTCCCAAATCTGTGTACAGGGCAGGCACAGGCTGCCTACTGTGGGCTCGAGCTCCCCACTCTGCTGCCCTCCCCCAGGGCCTCTGCAGCCCAGCAGGTGTGACCTGATGTGGCAGGGAATAGTGGGGCTGTGCAGGGAAGCTGCTTGCCACTGCAAGCTCCACACTGTCCTGGTGATGTGTCCCCTGAGCACATGGCAGCAGCGGGGGTGGCAGAATGGGGTTGTGCCCCTCACTGTTGCCACATGGGCAGGGGATGCATTGCCAGGGCAGCACGGAGCTCACAGCAGCCAGCAGCTTCTCTGTGCGGCCCTGCTGTTCCCTGCCATGTCGAGTCACACCCACTGGGTTGCAGAGGCCCCCAGGGAGGGCAGCAGGGTGGGGAGCCACAGCAGGCAGCCTGCACCCACCCTGCGCACAGATATGGGCAGCACAGGAGCCCCCCACCTGTGCTGGGAGTGCATGCAGTGGTGGGGAGCTAGCCCTACCCCCTGCCCCCCAGATGAGCCACCCCTAGCTTCATCCCGCTCCCCACCGGACCCGGCAGCTGAGCATTGCGGCCCTAGGCCCCAAGCCCTATGCACTGCCTGGCTGGGCAGCAGCCCCAGCCC